ACATCCCCACTGCCCTGTCCATCAGGTCGCAGGATGGTCCTGAAACAGTAGGAGGTTTTTTGTGCCTTTTAGAGGCTTTTTTTGCCATGTTGGGCAACTGATGGCATCATGCTGTGGAAGGAATTTACGTCAACTCGTTGCGGGACCTGAGCCGCTCTATCATACATCGCTCGAAGTCACGCGTGATTGCAAGCAAAGCATTCACATCGTCGAAATTTCCTAAAATTCCAGCCGTCATTGCCCAACCTCAAAGTGTGTCTTGTGGGACCACAACGCGCCGCCCAAGTGCGAGCGCCCAGCTCCTGCACGGCACGACGTCGTGAGCCCCCACAACAAGGAAGGGCTCGACCTCCGGCGCGATCTTCACCGCGGCAAGCGCGTCATCGCCATAGAAAGTGAATGTGTGTGGGTAATTGTATCGCGTGAATTTGGCGCGCCCGCCAAAAGCAAACCTTTGTCAATGCATGTTTCGATCGAAATAAAATTTACAGATTGGCCACATTGATTGCAGATTTACAGTCCGCGAGGGCATCGAGAGGCCTAGCAGAGGTTTATGTGACAGGATTGGTGGATTTTTACAATTTTATATGCATTCGATTCACCAGAACTCGAAGAAATAAACTCCGTCACGAAAAGACTCTGTAAAGGAATGTCCTGCGTAGTAGAATGAAAACACCGTACAAATTAAACAAAAATAGGCCTATAAAAGACAAATCCTTGTCAAAACCAATATAAAGGGAAGGAGAAAAAAATTCAGCACACTAAAACCTCTATATCATAGTGTGCCTTTTTCACATACTTCGTGGTCAATTTCACATAATTTCGTTGTCGAAATGGCACGGACCCGTCGACATCATGTGGTGTTCTCGGCTCCAGGGATTTTTTACCTTCTACCAATTGAGATGGTGTGGGCCAATGTGAAGGGCACAGTTGGTCGTGCTTACACTTCTATGACTACGTTTGCGGAGGTCCGCGATCGTCTTGATCGGGCGTTTTATGAATTGGACACTGAGGTGATATACAACAACATTGCAGCATCTACGGCAAAACTGCTTGTGCTGGATAGCTCTCTTCGAAAGGCAGAAACATTGGCGGAAGCAAGCTGTTTTCAAGACTTCGATAGCGAAACTTCTGATGAAGATGACGTTTCGGCTTCAAGCGACTGCGACGACATGGGTGTGAGTGAGAATGACGAATAGAATCGCGGCTTCTTGTGTTTAATTTCATGTTTAATTCCATACTTCAAGTTGAATGCAATTGTAGAGGTCTAGTCAGTTCGAGCATTATTATTTTGCCCGTGCAAATGTATTATTGATTTCAGGAATTGGCATTGGCCCCTCGATGCTCTCGTGGACTGTCAATACTCTAAACGCCTCGTTGAGTCTTTCTTTGACATCAGAGAGTCCAGTAGCATCAGTATTGCGGCGACCAACATGACCTTTGACATTGGCCCATACAAGCTCAATGGGTTGCAAGTCTGAGTGATGCGGAGGGCTAAACACAACTTAATGGCTCTTGTCAGTGGCCATTTGGACGACTTGGGGTTTTGTATGCTTTTCAATGTGAACAGAGAGTTTCTCCCACAGTATGCTCTTGAAGTCCGAGGGCTCAAATGACAATCCATACCGAGTGCAGGCTGCTTGCAAACTCTTTTTGCACAGGCGGCTCGTTGGGGCGCCAGTGGGGCGCCCCTTGTGATACTTGGCATTGTCCAGTACGATGTATGCATTGACCACACCCAAACCAAAAAAGCAACTTGGCAAACCAGTTGCCAAACCAGTCGTGATTGAACATTGCATGATAGTCTTTGGGCTGTTTAGCCGTTGACTTCCCGCCACGAAAAATGTCCAGGGACAGTCCAGACCAGGAGACTCCAGTATGCCAGCAATGAATCAATAACTATGACCTTTGTGGTTCTTTATCTGAACATCCAATACATCACTTGGGTCGTAGAGGCTGTCGTCATGTCTCATGTAGTGTTGATGTATGAACGATTCGTCCAAGTAGACGAAACTGGGTTCAGGACCCGGTGGACGAGAGGTTGCATGAGCTTAACGTACGTGTCTCTCGCCAAAGCGTTGGACTGGGACGGGTGGTAGGTGGACGAACCGGGTCTTTTACCGCGGCGTTAGCCATTACGCTTGAGAAAGCGCTGCACTGCACGGACTGCTGATTTCATACTTGTCTTGTACCCATGTCAATGTCCAAGATGCCCATCTCATTCAAATATGTCGTCTCGTCGACAGCTGTAGTACGGATCCGAGTTGCACAGCGGTCACGGACAAACTCTTGCACAAGGGAGATGTTTGCTGATGTATGTGGGATGCGTGAAGGATGCACCGTTCTGTTGGCAGCGGTCTCTGCTTGTGTGACTGTTCCAAACTGGCAATACTCGTTCAAAACACCACGAACGACAGCAATGTTGCGTCCGAGTGCTTCGGACACTTGCTTGGGGCAGTTAGACTCGCCCTGGAACTTGTAGAATGCAAGTAAGCGCAAAATGTCCAAACGCTCCTCCCGTGTGAACGACGAGGACGCGCCATCTTCACGAACTCCATGCAAGTCTGTGCATTGGTGGCCATTGCGATGAAGTGCAAATGAAATGGACGACAGCCCTCCTTGTGAAACTACTGCTATGAAACCACTGCATTCCTCAACAATAGCGACGAAACGACCTGAAGAAGTGTATGAAAAATTGAGGGTACAGTGTGGTATGTATTTAGGAAAACCTCTATAAACCAATAATGAAAATCGCACGATTAAATATAATGGGTGACAAGGTGAAAATTGGTACAGAATCCAGCTTTCAATCTAACTTATTTCAAAGAATATGCCTTTTTGAAGGCCTTTATCTATATAGGTTGGGTTGCCTTGAAATTGCGCATCTCGCATACACTTATATAAATCCGAGTTCATTTGCAAAAATACAGATGTACTCTCCCAGACGTAAGGAGATCTCTGGGGTCATCTTGGTCAGTGACAGGCGCGCTCCACCCCGGCTGAGTCGGCTGGCACGGTTTTGTGAATCACACGTCGAACTGTCATCAAAGGGACTCCATTGTGAGCGGCCACTGCTGTCCAATCTTTTCGGCCATGGAATGCTGCCAAGACATGATTTTTCTCGGCTTCTGTTGGCATCTTTTGATTGTGTGTGGGTAATTGTGTCACGTGAGTTTGCCGTGCCCACCAAAAGCATACCTTTGTCAATGCATGTTTCGATCGAATTACAATTTATAGGTTGGCCACATTGATTGCAGATTAAACCAATTTGAATGAAATAGATTCCAGGTGTACTTTGACGTTCGAAGATATTACAACTTCGGAACCACATTGATTGCTGGTTTGGCCACATTGAACGGGCAGTGGTGTAGTGTAGACGCCATCTTCTCTCCGTTGTGCTCGAGCGTCGTTCGAACGACTTGATCATTGTACCATGGTTGTGCTGTAACTTTGATCTGACAACAAATTTCCGGATAAAATGAATGAATTACCAAATAATGGTCAATACAAATGTTAACTTTAAAACTCGGTCATCCCTTTGGCCAAATTTTTAAAACAAAGTTACCAGCTAAGATTTGTAACCTATGATTCCTTACTTCGAAATCAAATCCTTTCCAAATTTAAATCTGAGACGTGACGACACTTCCTCTTATTAGACCTCTTGAAAAGCCACCCAGTCATTTGACAAAATCAGGCCGTTATGTCAAGTCATCAAGGAACATTCGAAGTCAGTGTGCAATTGATTAATCATCAGACATATTTTGAAAGTTACGCAGTGATCAACCAATGCTTCTGGTGATTTCGTTAGAATTGTGATTCTTTGAATTTAGTGCTGCGCATAAACAAGAACCGAGAAAACAAAAATTGTTTAAGGTATTCTTCATCAAAAATACCACTTCCATCAGCACTGTTATAATATTCTACGTCTGAGTTGCCTTGAACATTGTCGGTAAACAAAGAACTCAAACGGCGCCTGCACTTTTCGCGAGATTTCGCGACGGAACCAGCTCGCTTTGCTGACTTTTTCTTACCCGACGACAACAGCCCATTGATGTTCCTATTCAAATCATGTCCATCTTCGTCTCTCAATGGCATGAAACGAGTATGAACATTCGTGAGAGCGACGCAAATCTGGAAAAATACATCGTAATTTTCACGCTTCCATGTGTACGTGCAACCAACAACAATATTCCACAAAGTCTTCAAACGACCAAAAACGTTTTCCAGAAGGACACGGACATACATAACTTTGTCATTGTAAGCCATATTGTCAGGCGTCAGCAGACCACCAGGGGGACGTTTGACAGGAGTAATATCGGAAGTGGGTGGCTCAATCGCTTTGATTTTTGATGGTTTTCGCGCTTTGTGGTGCAAGTATGTCGACTGGTTTCAGCTTGATCTAGTAAAATTCGATATATCTGCCATTATTATTTCTTAGGATTTTGAATGAGGATGACGAGCTGCCATCCAATGATGCTTCATGATGTGCAATTGAACTCGAGCGATTTCGTATATGACTGTGATTTCGTAAGTCAATATTTGTTTCCGGCATGACTTATGTACACTCTATCACGAATTGTTCGGTTAGATATTCGACAGTTCAATTGCACTTTCCAAATCAGTCAGTCTCTGATTCCAAGTAGGGCTTGTGAAATTGAGATGTGCTCTGTCTCTGGTTGTGCTCTCAGTCATTGGGATAGAGTTCTATTGAGATCTATCGAATATAAGGTCTCTGTTCGTCCTTCACGGCTTCCGACCGCAGAGTTACCTTCTCGTAAGGCAAATCCAAGACTGTATTACTTCAGGAAGCCCCAGGGGGCACGAGCCACGTGGCCACTGACTAGCATACTGAGTAATACTATCAATCTAGGTCATCAACAGCGCCAATAGAGCTGCGGTACTAAACAGCTACCGCGGCCGCAGTGGGTCAAACAATCGGGCGACCCCGACTGCCCTGCACCGTAGAACACTTCCCTCTCCTCTGGGAGACCTAGGTTGGCCATCATGTCCGCGACATGAGCATCGTCCTTGTGGACGGTGCAACACTTGCGCAGCGCGACCGGGATGTCTTCAAGCAAGTTGGCGGCAGGCTCCCACGACGATTCCTCGGCATCCAGGCCGAGCCACTTGACCAGAACTTCGTAGCGGCCGTTCGCCGCAACACGCACTTCTTCCAGGCGCTCAACGTGGAAACCGCCATCGCCGAAGGCGATCCGATCCACGAGGTCATCAGTGGCCTCACGTCCGCCTTCGTGGTACATCTTCAATCGACACGTATGGTGCGCGGACAAATCGAAGGGCGCAACCAGTTGTTGCGTCTCCATCACGTGTTCCGTGACCACGCGAACGACCTGTTGTGGCCCAAGCCACTGCAGCGCAAGCTTCGTAGGCCGTTGAACGACGGCGCCGACTAGGACAAAATCACCCACACTAAAGTTGGCAAATTTGGCCCGCGTTTTCTTGTCGCGCCGTCCTCTTGCTTGTTGTCGCAGCTAGTCGCTGCGGGCAAACCCTTCATGGTGCAGCTGATCCAAGGCAATCTTGAGCTGCGCCATGTGCTTGACACGGGCATCGTCCAGCATGTCCGTGCAGATGACTTCCTTGGTGGCCGGGTGTACTAACCCGGCCAGTGGCGTCTTCGCCTTGAGCCCCGTAAAAGCCGTGACGGGGGCAACTCCACCGAACCTGTCCGAGGGCTGGTGGTTCAACGCGCCCTGCACCAGAGGCAGGACTAGATGCCACTCATTCGCACGCAACTTCATCTCGCTCAACAAAGCCTTGAGCGTCAGCAGGACTAGACGGTTGACCACCTCAACCGTCCCATTGGCCCAAGGGCTGTAGGCCGTCGTGATGTGGTGGTGTGCGCCCACCATCTTGCGCACTTTTTCGACCACTTCGTTCTTGAAGTGAACCCGCTCAAATCGTCCTTGATAACCAGGACATATTTCAGTCCACTTCACGACTCCGGCATTGACAACCAGTCGAAGTGAATCAACTCATTGGGCTTCTCGGCGTGCAGGGCCGAGCCCAATGGTCGCGGCACCACATCTCCATCCACTTGGAGACATTGCAAGCACGCTCGGACAAACGTGTCCACGTCTTGGGCCAGCGTGGTCCAAATAAACACGTCGGACACCGACTTCGTCGTCGTGGCAATTCGACGGTGGCCTGCCGCGCCTTGGTGAGCGATAACGCAGAGGCGTTGCTGCAGGTCGACAGCACCGTCTTGCACCCAGATCCTCCCGTCTGGGTCCATGTAGTAGGAGTCTTCTTCGCTCCAGGCCACGCCAGGTGGGATGGTCTCCCCCCGTCCAAAGATGACGTTTGGGCGTACAAAATCGACGCAGCAGTCGGCCAATCGAAATAAGCGCGCTGCAGAGGGTGACACCACGTGCAACAGCTTGCGCACATGCGCCACGGGCGGCGCAGACGGCGCGGAGCCCCAGCGACTAAGCAGGTCGCCCCACACGTGCACGTCGCCCGGTAGACATTCGATCGAACAAGGGAATGTCGACATAACCAACGCCTCCGCTGAAGCTTGTCAGCCTGGTACTTGGCGAGGTTGCCGTTCGACTAGTGAGGGTTGAACATGTAGATGAGGTTGCGGTGGTCCGTGAACAGACGGAATCCACCAGGCCGAATCACCAGATAGTCGAGCCGCTTGCAGGCCTCGACGACGGCGAACGCCTCCTTTTCGACAATTGGCCAGCGCGCGCTGGCACCGCTAAAGCTGCCGCTGAGGAACGCCAGCGGCTCGTGACGTTGCTCTTCCAAGGGCAGAC